TATTCTTGATGATAATTACAGGAGAAATGTTGCCCTTGTAGATCAAAGATCAAGATTTTGCTGAAATTCAAACAACAGAGAGGCATATTGGAATGCAGAAAACACAGGGACAGCTCCACAAGAGTACTGGCACTGGTGATTAAAAGAAAACTTTAACAAATTACTTAAAAAGGCAAGGAGTGAAGATAATGACCACAGATGCCAGGTCTTGCACCAAATCTGACAAACTGATGATTAAGGAAAGTGCTAAGCCTTTGAGTTCACATCATTGTCTATGTACATACAGCATTCAAGCACCACCCACCCACCACAGAGATAGAGGTTTTGATGGTTTCATGTACTCATTTTGAATACTTTTAAGTAGAAACACTCAGAATTTGTTTCCATTATCTCTAGGGCTGTCACCTATAGTTTTTTTCTGTAAGTATTATATTTAAACAGACCTAAATAGAGTATTGAATACTGAGTCACTTTAAGTTGAGCAATAAATTTTGAGGCTAAAGTTTTCACACATCTAGTGAAAATGCTGGTTGAAATGTTTCTGCTAGGCACTCAAGAATCATCAGACCATTCAGATAATTCATAGTTGTGTTGTTGCATGGTTACTGCAAACCATTACTCTAGAACAGAAACCTCCCACCAAACTTCACTGGGGAGTCCAACAATGGCAATTCAGGAAAAAGACCAGTGGGAGTTATGAAGATCAAGGAACTTTGTATTTTGCACAAAATACAAAGAAGTGTGATCATTCCATCACAAACATGCATTTGAAGAGGAAGAAATATTACAATAGCATACCACTATCTACTAACTGGGGGAAAGCCTATGGAGCTATGTTGAAACTTTCTTCACATTTTCAGGAGTGAGACTGCCTCTGTTGATCACTTTTTATATTTAGTTCAACAGCTCTAAGATTTAATTTAAAACATTCTATTAACTTAATTGTAGCTATTGATTATAAGCATTGACATTAGTATGCTGTGATAGATTAGCATTTAAGAAAACAAAGAGAAACACCTAAGGAAGTTAAAACTGCTGGAGGCTGATGGGAGTTTGTCTCCTAGCCAACAGCTGGCCATTTCTAAGAATTGACACCAGTTTTAACCATTGAAAAGTGAGATCAACCTGTGAACACAACCTTAAGACCTAAGCCTGGGAATTTGTCTCTTTGTTTCCTGTTTGTGAAAGGTAACAGAGCTTTAGCTGGGTTCCTGTCCCCAGCCCAGGCCATGCGGCCCTGTGGGGCAGGGTCTGGGCTGGGCCCAGCGGCTCCCGGCCGGGAGATGGGGCCTGCGGGGCTTGCCCCGGGCTCTGGCCGGGCCAGGCCGGTCCCTGGCTCGGCTGCAGTTTTTGCTGTGACTGAATTCACCAGAGACTGCTGAGTAAAGAAAGAAAAAAAGCTCTTGACCTGCAGCAGGCTGAGACAGTGACCACACTCTCCAGAGCAGCCATGAAGAATCTTCCATCGCAGACAGCTCCAGCCGCTGCTCCAGCAGAGATCACAGAACCATCTACAAAGCCTGGGCAAGATTTTAACCTTATCATTACCCAGATGAGACTTGCAGATTAATCTTTTTTTTCCAGAGAAAGAAAAAGAGAGTAATCAACATGTAAAGAGACTTTATAAACTATTAGAGACAGTAAAGAAAAGAATTAAGCTTCAGAAGAGGTAGAGAATAAGGAGATGCTTTAATTAAGCTGAAATATTTTTCTGTTAAAGTTATGGAGATAGACAATAGTGTCCTGAAAAAACTCCTTTAATTCATGACAGAGTATATTGGGAGGAATAGAGTGTTCAAAGTGTGGATTTTGAGCAAAAGGTGGAGTAATTGTGATACAGTGAGGTGCTGGAACAGAAGGGGAGAAGTAAGAGCTGAAGATTTGAAGCCGACTGAGGCAGAAAGAAAACTTCTTTTTCCAGGGAAGCTCACAGAGACAGATGAAAAGAACTTTTGCCTTTGAATAACTCATCCTTAAAAATGACATCTCTAGACTCATGGCCCATAACACACCTCAGAGAGATGTGAAATGGGAGGAGAAAATCTGATGGCAGATTTCCAGGCAGCTGGCATCAGAGAAATAGGAAACTATAACAGAAATAGTTTTCTTGTGAGAAACTCCATAGATTAGCAGAAGAAGACTTCTGTTTCTCTACAAAGACTGATGAAAATATTCTAGCAGGAATTGGGACTGTTTTAAACACCAGAGTTCCAAAGTTTTTTGTCTCTATGTTGTCATGTAAACAAGGAAATGGTTGGGTAGTGAGAGAAAAAGAGGTTTTCTGGAAGTTTTATTCTGGTTCTGTTATTCTTGTAGTTTGTTAATAAACTTTCTTTATTCCTTTTAAGTTTTAAGCCTGTTTTGCTCTTGTTCTAATCCATATCTCACAGCAAGAAAATAAGTAAGTTTTCTAGTGTTTTTTTAGTTGCTGCTTTAAAACCATGACATATGCTAAATTTAGCAAGTGGATCAGTTTGTAACCTAATTATTACACGTGTCCAAAACCTTATGAGAGTTTGTTGCTGCCTGACAGATTTAATAGAATACACAACATCTTTCTAACACAAAGCAATTATTTCATTTTGCAGATCATCTGACTCAAGGCTGAACATCAACTCACCTGCAGTAAGAGTTTGCAATCTGCAAAAAGATCTAAATTAAGCAGTTCTTCTCTAAGGGAGGAAGGAAAAACCAATACATCATGGCAGTGTTGGTCCACAGCATACGTATAATGGTCAAAGTCTGACACAGATTCAACCTTTTTGAGCCCCTTCATCTCCAAATCTCTGATAACATCTTCAAGGCTGTTAACATACAACTCTGACCATTAAATATATGAGTTACTTAAGCAACATAGTTTACATTGATTATAATATTTTTTTCTTCTGTTATTTTGTGTGTATACGTATGCATAAGTATATAGGTATAAAATGCATACTGTCTAATGCAGGAGGGAAACTTACTCTACTTTAGACATGTAAGTTCTGATTTGAAATAATTAAGTTAATAAATCTGATACAATTAATTAAAAAACAGGTATGTGTCTGAGGATGATTCAAAGTATTAAAACAACAATGTGTTCAGAAGACCCAGTAGTAAATACTAAAAAAAATATTATTAATTTATCTTTCATATAATATATAAATATAATAATTATTAATTATTAATATAATTATATATATATATATATATTTTGTTATAAATTTACGGATGAAATGCTTCAGTTCTTTCAATTGCTTTCAATCTAGCCCAGCTCACCAATAATTTTAATGGCTGGTACTGAAAGAATCCTTGTGTAAATGAAATGAAGGCATAACTGCTGAGGTTAGCAATTCAAATATCATGAAGTATTACAGGTATATATAGCAAGAGATGTTTGTCGAAATGCTGTTTCAGACAGTGCCATAAATTTAATTAAACCTGGAATGAATGGAGCAGCTTTTATTTATTTCCTGTTTAAGGGTTCTAAAGTCACACCTGAAGTAAGATACAATATCTTGAAAAGCCTACAACCTAAGCACTGAACATTTGTGAAAGACAACAGTAGTAAAACAAAATTCTTGAAAATGTTATAAAATGGATTACACTGTCTAATAAAATCTGTCTAACAAAACAGATAACAGGATAATCTGGTATGGTACATGTATCAGTAAGTACAGAACTGGGAACATCAGTGTTACATTATCTAGTAGCCTAGAGAATATAAGGATTTTTTTAAAGTGTATTTTAATCTCAGGTCTTAATCTCAGGTTAAAGTGTCTTTTAATCTTACACTATCCTTACAGAATAAACAGCAGGTTCATTATTATAAATAAATTATTATTTATTAACAGGGTCTTAACACCCTTTGCCAAGATTATGGTTTACACTACTACACCTACTTTTCAAGACATTTTGTCTTTTTTTTTTTTCATCAAGTTAACTTGTCTATACTTTTTTTTCTAACTTTATTTCTTCATTTATTTCATGAAAGACCCACACAAGAGACAGAATAGTTAGAACTGTTTCAAAACTGTGAAATACCATTACTGCAATATATAAAAGCTAAAAAAATATAAAACACAATAGTACTGGACTAAGCAGAGCTTCCTGTAAGAATTTTTAATTACTAGTAAAAATATAATCTGGAAATTCTAAAACGAGTATGTAGCAAACTATATCACTTCATATGCAAAAACATTAATATCAGATGATAAAGACCTTACCTGATTTTCAATGTGTTTATCCAAAAACAGACAGGTAAAGCAGAAGCCTTTTTTTCCTGCTTCGATATGGTTTCTGGTACAAAGTATTCAATTGAAAGAGCATCATATTTGATGCGACATCGTGCTAGTGCAGCTGCCAGTTTGGTCCTATAACTATAAAAACAGTCACAAGCTTCATAAGTTTTTAAATGTTTTCACCAGCTATTAGCATGCAACATTTCTGTTACAATACCATCTTGCCCAGAAACCAAATCCAAAAGGGACACCTTCTGCAAGCTGCAACGGAAAGTAGAGTTACAGAACAATTTCTACCCTAGACAACAGAAGATGCAAGGTAGTAGTCAATAGCTAAGATTATTTTAATTAAATCAGGCAGGACTGGAATTATAACAGGTGACTCTTAAACACATCCATTTTCTCAGGCAGCTCAAAGAAAATCTCAGCATGTTTTGGAAGTACAATGTGTGGAATACAACCATCAGATTCATTTGCATGATTGAAAATGTAAATACATATATGTGCAGAATGAGCATTTGATGGCAGCTGGCCCCTAAACATGTACAGAAACAACACAAGTATGATGGCAACCAGGAGTCACTTTTATTATTATTATTACATTAAAATGTCTGAGAAAATATTTCCAGTCTTTCCTTCCCACAGGCTTCATGCATATTCTTGATACATGATAATTCAAAATAAATAAAAATTGCTGGTGAACTACTTCAGATATCTTAGTTACTGCCCTATAGAAATACCTTGCACTTAAGAGATTCATTAACTTTTTTGGCCATTCTAAATCCAGCAGCAACACAATTTTGTCCAATAAATGCCTTTTGAATTAATCAACTGACTGATGAAAGAGATAATAAATATCAAAATGTTTTTGTAATCTGGTTTTTGTTCTAAATATTTAAAATAATAAATATTTATCAACGTTTCATAGTAGAAGTACGCTAAATAGACAAATGTTATTCCATTCCATGACCTCTTGACTCTATTACATTTGCATTTATGAATAATTTACTGAATATTTAATTTCCTTCCTAGAATTGTATAAAAGTTTCAAAAATGCCAAAATAAGATATGATGCCTACAAAATAATCCACAATATAGTTTGTTACCTATATTTTTCATATCTATACAAATATGAACATTTGCCTTCAAACTAGGCTCTCATAAAAAAAAATCCCACAAAATTTTAAGGTGAAAGACATTTTAATAATTACCTTTAAAAGGCACTGATTATGCAAATCTTCATTTTTGCTTATCTATATCAACAAAAAATAGCTCTTTGCACTTATACCTGTATAAATAATCCCCTATTTCCTGAACTTCTTCTACAAGTTCCTCTTCAGCAAAAATCTTTCGTTTTTTAAACTTTCGGTCTTGTAGGTCATAAAGCATCACAACAAGCAAGCTGGTTAACTCATCTGGCTGCAAGAGAAAAGGCACCCAAAGCATGCCTTATTTCTGCAAAAAGATCCATATCAAACAGCAGTCTCCCATGTAAAAGGCATTAAAAACCCTTAAACGCTTGCTTGAAAGAATATGAAAGTAATTACTTGTGGAGAGTTTATAAAACACTTCTTTAAAAAAGATTTTTTTAAAACTCAAAACTTGTGTGATTTAGATTATCAAAATTAGAAACATTCTCCATGCACACAGATAAAATATTGTATCTTAACTTTTAATGTTATCAGAATTGAAACTTTGAAATTATTCTCTTCATAAAGTAGTTTGTTAAATAGCTAAGCTAACAAAAACTTCTTGTCTATCTATTCCTCTATTGTGGGATTCTTCCATGTGTGGCATCCAAAATGCTCAGTTAGAAAACCTCCTTTATCTGTGTGAATGTTTAAACCAGGAAGTATCTCCTGCTTAAGGACAATAACTACTGCACTTCACTTACTACTGTCTACCTCTTTACATTAAATTCTTACAGTTATTACACACCTTCTGAAAGTCTCACCTTCTTACAAATATGGCCAGAATTAGTTAGAAAACTGAAGTAATTAGGGAAATACCACCAAACACAAAATGTTAACAATGAAGTCTTACTTCCTTGCCAAAAACAAGGCAAAGATAAATATGTTAGATCATTTGCCTGCTCACATCAACCTCCACAAACAATATCAGCTCAAGTTTATCTTGCGATTTTCAAAGGCACCGAAGACAAAGCTGGAAGGAACAGCAGAATATTCTGCCAGCTCCAGAATTTCTTTCCATGTCAAAGAAGGAAAGCATGTCAAGAGAGTAAACTGGACCAGTTTTTGCCAGTACAATATTTATATACAGTACTGTTTGCCCAGGAAATGAACCATGGGGTCAATGCACTTTTTTGTCTGATGGGATTCACTCCATGTTTTCCAACTCCCAAGGATAGGTAGGAAACTTTTTTTTCCCTGCTCACAAGGGGACACAGCTGGGAAGGAAAGCACATGGACATGGACAATATCACTGAAAAAGTACTATGTTGCAATAAAGTTCATGGCTCACTCTCACACTTCTTTCTTTGAAGGTTTTGACTCCCAGCAATTAATTGCAACAGAATCTCACAACAGACTTTGGAGATGGATGCTTTAGACAACTATGTAAATAGATCAGCAATATTTCAGTCAAAGGCTATCATGTAGTTCGAAACAACAAAGGTTGTTTTGAAGAATGTTGTAGAATCCTCAGAAAACATGCTAATTATATGAACACAGAAAATAAAAATGCCTCACAAAAATGTTCACTTACTATTGAGTAGCATGGGTAAGTTTTACTATTTAACAACATTTCTTCAAGAAGATCTTGATCTGTAAAAAGGAGAAAATGTTGATAAGTTATGGTACTGTCTACAAAATTCTATGGATGTAAACTTTGTAAATCACTAAATTATAATTTTAAACATGAAAATTGAGGGCAAATTCAATCACCAACAGTAGCAATCCTATGTAATCTATTTACATGAAAAAGAATAAGCTTTAAATGTTTTGATTTCACACATGCTAATAACACTTAGCTATATTTAAACATTTGAGGGATATGAGTAGTCTAGTAAATTTATATATTCATCCATAATTAGGATCTGAAAAGAACCACTGAGATGAGCTCAGCTGGTCAGAGCAGGGTGCTAGTAACACCAAGGTTGTGGGATCAATCCCCGGCCATTCTTGATGATCCTTGTAGGTGCTGTCCAATACAGAATATTCTGTGAATCTGTGACTCTGTATCTATTACAGATTCTGTGAATCTGTAATAACCTGAAGCTTAACAAAAATTTCCCCAGGTCTCTGCTGTCAGGCAGACACTAGACATTTGTTTTTCCGTGTTTTCTCTGCTGCATCATTTCTGTTGGCAATTCTTGGGTAAGTTTCGTACTTACATTTTAGAGCATTGAAAGCCAGTTCATAAGATACACGCTTGGAATGCTCATCTTTAAAATCCATCATGGGAGGTTCTGAGTTCTCGCCATACCGCACCAGGAGTCTATCCTTACTCTTTTCAGTACGAATGCCTTGAAAAATCTTAGCTGCATTTATGTATATGGAGTCGGGATAGCCATTCTTCTCAATCTGAGTCACTGGTTTTTTTCCAGCACATCCTTTTTCATCAGAAATTTTCATTTCATTCAAGACTGAAGTACCATTTACAGCATCTTCATGTGAAGACTGCAAATTACTTTCAGAATCTGGCATTTTTCCAGTTGCTGACTGTTTAAGTGTAAGTCAAAATCCTGCTGCCTCTGCAAAAAACAAAGTTTGTATTGAATCACAAAATTTTCTTTCACTAGAATATACTTTTCCCTTCCTTTTAGTGTTTTCAATAGAATTCATTTTCTTTTTCAGGCTCTAATCTTGCAAATACTTATATATGTGTATCATCTATATTTCTATACATCTATCTATTCTCTTACACGTCATAGAGAAGTATTTATAAGAGTTTTCTTACATTATTTGTTTTCACAAATGAACATGTAGACTGGTTAATTGTTTCAAAAAGGCCAGTGCTTTACAGTCCTTTACAGACTGTACACACAGATCTGATTCTCTGTGTCTAATAAGAATCATTATTATTGCAGGCAGAATAGTATCTCTTACTAGGAATTTTCCTTTAATAAAAAAGACACGAAAATTTTAAAGCAGATATCATGTCTTCCAAAGAACCATCTTGAAAAGAGCTGCAGCAAATTCCAAATGTTTGTCCACTAAACTGCATATTTTTTCTTAAAAGTGGAAAACAGAGATCACCTAAATGTTAATGTATTTAATATATTACCTAAACAGCACAATTTTAAATGCAGGAAATCCATTTTGAGAGTCTCTTGAGGTATAATCCAACTCTCTGTAAGCCCATGTACATTTCTTAAATTTTCTACACATATTAACAGTAAAACAAAAATTACCTTCCCCAGAGGTGGAATAGGACTTTAAGAAAATGAAAAAGTCCCAGAGTTAGTTGAATGCAAAAATGTGCTAAAGTTCCACATAAAGCATACCTAAAGTATTGGATTTACCCTACTTGCTCTGGTTGTTAAAACATGCATTTATGATAATGCCTGGAGATGCAGAAGTTATATTAAATGTTCAGAGGTGGGTTATGCCAGAACAAATTTAAACACAGAATAAAGATTAAAAAAAAAATATCAAATTAGTCTTCCTGCCTAGGGAAGAACAATACAAAAGAACTATGAGGGATTTAGCAGCTATAGCACAAAAAGCTAGGCATGGATCCATTGCTGCAAAAGAGTTCTGGATATTTTAGGATTAATACCAAAAAATAGCAGAATTTGCTGGAGGATGGTGAGGGGGATGCCAGTTTAAAATCAAGAAAATAAGGTGGTATTCTGACCAAATGGAAGGGGTCTTCTTTTCTGCTACATAATTTGTTCATTACAAGAATTCTCAAGCTTTTTCCCTGCACTCCTCAGCATCACTAAGGATAAAATACATACTACTTCTCCCCAGTTCTGACATACTTGCTCAACATCCTTTTTTTCCTCTCTCCTTTCCCGCCCCCTATCACAAAAAACCATAGTGGCAATGGAGGATGGCAGCACACAGAGTTGGAGGGGCAAGGGGGGACACAAACTGTTGCTTCCCCAGCAGGTAGGCATGAAATGCTCCATGCTGAGCCAGCACTGCCCCATCCAAACTCCCCTTCCCAACCACAGGTGACACTCAGCCCATCCCTCCCCTCTCCAAGACCAGCACAAGTCAGTGTCTGACCAGCCCAGCATGCTCCACACAACAGACCAGTGTGGCTTCCTGAATTCTGGAGGAAGCCACATCTCATTCTCCTTCCCCAGGATTTGCTCTCCAAAACTGAGAGCGGCTAACCCTGTAGAAGCAACTTTTACTGTTACTTTATAGAGGCCTCAGGCATCAGACAAACAGTTTTTTCTAGCAGTTTTGCTCCAACATACCTATTAGATGAAGAAGTGATGGATCTATGAAGCAAACATAAATTTATTTCATAAAGCCATATTGAAACAGAGCAAGCAAATCAAAAGAAAGCCCTATTCTTCACTAGAACAAAGCAACAGATCACCTAAACTAAAACACTTGTGCTTAGAAAGAAAAAAAAGCACATACGCTTTCATGATTGTTTACACTATTTTGGCCAGCAAATTTCTATCTCACAGAAACGGGGGCACCATTTCAGAGACCTGAAACTCAAATGTCTTTGCCAGGTGAATGCAAGTATTCCATTTCAGAATATGCAGCAAGTGAACAATGTCTGTGGTGTAAGGACTTTGAAGTTTTGTAGTGTTCCCAATTACTCTTTCTGACTTCTTTGCCAAAGCCATTCTTGCTGAGCCACAACACACACTGCTATGAGGATGATTTGATGAGTGAGTACAATTTTCCAAAAGACAAATGTCATCCTAATAAAGATGACATGCCAGTGTTCTGCCTTGCACAGACACACTGCATGTTTGCAACACTGTAAATCAGTCTGAATTACTCGACGATGTGCCAAGCAGAGGACACCAAGCTTGAGTAATACAAAGCTCAGCTTCGAAGAAGAGCTTCCCAGACAAGAGAGAAAAAGATCCTGTCTTTGTTTGTGGTTGTCAAGCAGATTGCTCAGTTGACAGGGAAAAAAACCACTCAAGGTCCCAAGGTCTCCTGAAACAGAATGGCGTGAAGAATACCTCCAGCTTTGACTTAATAAACTCAAGCAAACAGAATTATGACATTTATTCACTGCACAGCATAGTGATTCATACCCATCCCCCCCCATAAAAATCACTAATTCCTTTGTTTATACCTGTAAGTGTATTTTCCCCATTCTTTCGGTTATCACCTTTTTCAGTAGCCTCAACAAATAAGGAAAAGAGATGAACAGAAAAGTGTTGTATCAGGAACAGCAGGCAGCCTGACCACACAGTTCTGATTCACATGGACAGGAACTCCGGGAGAAGTGGGTATGTGGGCACGGACGTGGCTGCTCACACACCAACAAACAGGAAATCCTTGACAGCCATAGATACATTAACTCTGTGGGATCCACATGACAGCATCTGCTTCCTAGCATCACTGCGACTGACACTGAGCTTCAAAGCCTCTGCTGTCCCCAGCTCCGGCCAAGCTGGAGGGCAGCGAAGACTGGTGGGAGTCAGGAAAACAAGTCAGCCACGAGACCATTCCCCTACTGCGCTTTATTTATGAGAAACAGGGGTGGGGAAAAAAAAAAAAAAAAAAAGAAAAAAAAAAAAGGCAGCTACTTCTTTGTAAAAACAGTGTAAAAACAGGCAAACGTTCTTTCATTGTAACACTGCCGTGGAAGGCCCTGAAACACAACCAGCTCCCCAAAGCCGTGCGGTCGCGGGCGGCGCCACTTCCCTTGGCCCGGGCAGGGGCCGCGGGGCTCGTACCTGACCGGGCTCCTGCGGCTCCTTCGGGGCGCTGCGGGCGGGGCTGCGGGCACCACCCCCGGGCCCGTGCCGGGCAAGGGTCGCCCCATGCCGGGCAGAGCAGCNAACAGTAAAAGCAACAGGTTCCCCTCCAGTCCCAGTACTATTATATCTTTTTATGTCATAGCATCAAACTCACAAAGTTTTCAGCCTGAATGACTGCTTCTGCAATCTGTGTGTTTTGTTAGATCATTCAATATTCTTTTTATCTTCCCTGCTCTATCAACTTCCAGCTTTGTAAGTCTGTGTGTTTCAGTTTCTTCCCATTGTCAGTCTCTGCAGTCACATGCCATCATGTCTGGTCAGTGATTCAGATACCACCTGTGAAATCTAGGTCTTCCAGGATTTTGACTGATGTTCACCATATCCCTGCCAATGATATTCCTCAATCAATGAATAGAAGAAGTAGCGAGAGTGTTCAAAAACCTGCTTATCTCAAAGTAGTCTCTGCTTTGAATGACTTAAAAGCTGCTTTCTCAATTACAGCATAAAAAACATTCCAAGCCATGAACAAAACCTTTAAAAACAAAACCACAGATCAAATGCATTCTCAGGGATTCTAAAATGTAGGTATGTATTTGAATACCACACGATGCCCTGTACAGTAGATGACATGTATTATATGACAAGATTACATGATCTTACCATCCCATTACTATTTCTGTATTCTGAATTTGACATCATTTCAAAATTAGGAATCCATTGGTTGTCTCAAATTCTCCAGACTGTTCTTGACAAGAATATGCTTGATACAGAAATAAGCTTTCTCCTTGAGGTATTTAATAAAGACAAGTCCTTCTACTCATGCATAACATTTTCTGTTTTCTCCAAATTTTGCCAAGAAGTTTGCTTGTGGCAGGAGTAAAGGTTGGTGTCCTGTATGTAACAGCTAAGTTGCAATTCATCAGTTCCACAGACTGCGTTTTCATTGTGCAGGTTTGGAACGGCTTCCCACAATTCAGCATATTTTTAAAACCCAGATCAAAACAAAGGCAAGAAAATGAAGAAGAAGTGAAGAAAATGAAGAGGTTTGTATATTGATAGACAGAGCTATTGATTTTTTATTTTAGTTCCAGATCTTATTTTTTTTACCATGTAAATGTTTAATGTGATCTTACTGATGAAATTTTGGCCCTCAAAGCCTGTCATCCTGCCAAAGCTTCTTGTCATGTGGATATGGCTGTCCTTACCTTCAGCCAAAGGGACATAAGATGGGCACACTCAGCAACTGGCAGGAGTAAGCTTTTAATTATTAGAGAAACTGAACACCTCACAGCGCTCCTTGCCATGCAGCCAGTACCAGATGCTGCAATAACAGCTTCTGGGGCAATGTTGCTTGGCCTGCACCACATACCTTGCTGAAATTTCATTGTAATATTGCATAAAAATGTGCTTTCTCATGCTCCAGTGTCATATAGTTATGATAACTTCTTTACATCCCATCCATTTGCCAATGCACCTCCCACTGTCTTTATTTTTCCTCTTTACTCTTAGGGATATTTCAGGGGTGTGATAGATTAGCATTTAAGAAAACAAAGAGAAACACCTAAGGAAGTTAAAACTGCTGGAGGCTGATGGGAGTTTGTCTCCTAGCCAACAGCTGGCCATTTCTAAGAATTGACAGCAGTTTTAACCATTGAAAAGTGAGATCAACCTGTGAACACCACCTTAAGACCTAAGCCTGGGAATTTGTCTCTTTATTTCCTGTTTGTGAAAGGTAACAGAGCTTTAGCTGGGTTCCTGTCCCCAGCCCAGGCCATGCGGCCCTGTGGGGCAGGGGCTGGGCTGGGCCCAGCGGCTCCCGGCCGGGAGATGGGGCCTGCGGGGCTTGCCCCGGGCTCTGGCCGGGCCAGGCCGGTCCCTGGCTCGGCTGTAGTTTCTGCTGTGACTGAATTCACCAGAGACTGACGAGTAAAGAAAGAAAAACGCTCTTGACCGGCAGCGGGCTGAGACAGTGACCACACTCTCCAGAGCAGCCATGAAGAATCTTCCATCGCAGACGGCTCCAGCCGCTGCTCCAGCAGAGATCACAGAACCATCTACAAAGCCTGGGCAAGATTTTAACCTTATCATTACCCAGATGAGACTTGCAGATTAATCCTTTTATCCAGAGGAAGAAAAAGAGAGTAATCAACATGTAAAGAGACTTTATAAACTATCAGAGACAGTAAAGAATTAAGCTTCAGAAAAGGTAGAGAATAAGGAGATGCTTTATAAGCTGAAATATTTTTCTGTTAAAGCTATGGAGATGAACAATAATGTTCTGAAAAAACTCCTTTAATTCATGACAGAGTATATTGGGAGGAATGGAGTGTTCAAAGTGTGGATTTTGAGCAAAAGGTGGACTAATTATGATACAGTGAGGTGCTGGAACAGAAGGGGAGAAGTAAGAGTTGAATATTTGGGGCTGCTTGAGGCAAAGAGAAAACTTCTGTTTCCAGAGAAGCTCACAGAGACAGATGAAAAGAACTTTTGCCTTTGAATAACTTATCCTTAAAAATGACATCCCTAGACTCATGGCCCATAGCACACCTCAGAGTGATGTGAAAGTGATGGGAGGAGTGAACTGATGACAGGATTTCCAGGCAGCTGGCATCAGAAAAATAGAAAGCTATAACAGAAATAGTTTGCTTGTGGGAAACTCCATAGATTAGCAGAAGAAGACTTCTATTTCCCTACAAAGACTGATGAAAAGATTCTAGCAGGAACTGGGGACTGTTTAAACACCAAAGTTCCAAAGTTTGTTGTCTCTATGTTGTCATGTGAACAAAGAAATGGTTGGGTAGTGAGGGATAAAGGAGTTTTCTGGAAGTTTATTCTGGTGTTATTCTTGTAGTTTTGTTATTAAACTTTATTCCTTTTAAGTTTTAAGCCGGTTTTGTTCTTGTTCTAATCCATATCTCACAACAAGAAATAAGTAAGTTTTCTAGTAATTTTTTTAGTTACTACTTTAAAACCACGACAAGGGGAAATTGCTTTGAGTATTCTCCACTGACAAGATGGACATGCAGGCATTTCCAGGGACCAGCAGAGTTAATCTATGCCAGAAACTTAAGTGATTGCTCTTATTTTTGCAAAGTCTGAAAGGTTTTTAAGTGTATGATTTTTCTCATTATGTGCCCCTCTCAGTACTGGACTTCACACCTCGTCACAGTCTGAAGCTGCACGAGAAATCCTGGCTGGGAGAGCCACCACTTCCCTGAGCTCTCTCTTAGTGTGGGTAAGGCCAGCCAGATTTCTTTACCCAAATATCTGGTGGGTGTTCCTCAGAAACAAAGGGCTACCTTTTCAGAGGTGACCACAAGGGACCATCGCATCTGAAGAGCAGATTTCACCCAAGATACTGCTACAGTTCAACTCAAACTAAGCTTGGTTTGCACTTCCAGCCTGGGATGTCTGCAGCCAGACCACAGCTCTTCCCTCACAGCTGTGTAAGGGGAAGGAAGGACATGCGCGCTGGGATATGGCATCATGTCAAGGATGGAGGGTGAGGATTTGGGTCAGGTGTGGGAGCAGAGGAGGCAGGCAGAGAGGCTTCCCCAGGGTATGAGAAAGGTGAGGGCAGGAGACTCACCTGCCTGGAGACTAATGCAAGGTAGAATTCTAGTATATACTTATCCCAACACCTATTTCCATCCTGAACAGCCTAAGCTATCTCTAGCAAAGAGGTTTTTGTCTGTGCACTGTGAGAAAACACATGTAAAGGCACTGCTGGTTGCAAATGCCCTATCAATGTTTTTATTTAAAGGATGTGGATTGACTGGCTGCAGAGGAAATGTAAGGGGATGCTCACAAGGAAAAGGCTCTGCTCATTGTGTATGCTTATTTAGAAAATGTATGAAAATGGATTTCAATTATTGATAAAAAAGTACTTCCATCATATGAAGTAAGATAAATAGCTCTCCACCTAATTTTTCTAAGTGGTCAGGTTCCAAGCTTCTTCTGAGGCATTTCTCTCTCGGGAGTCTCCTCCCATCAGGGCAGTGTGGTCAGGATGTTAGAACCTTTCAGGAGGTCACCTTCTCTCAGTACCAAGCTGGGCAGACTACAGACTGGTTTGTTCCACATCTTTGTTTTTGGGGTGAACTGAGACCTGCTAAAGCTGGTGGCACTGATCTGTGTCGCCGTCTCACGCCAGTGTCACACTGATGAGTGTGTATATGCTAGGGTGTCCTACTCTGCCACCTGCAAGGATGGGTGGATGAGCACAAAAGCACTGAGCAGTGACATGGCTGTATCTGCTGACATCAGCAGGGATTCTCGTGTTGACTTAGGGAGCAGATTTTCTGAAAATGCCACGGGTGTGTGTACTTTGCTGCCTTGTGTGAAATGGAGCGTGTGCCTGTAAGAGAACTGCCCACTTACCTCAGCCCCATGCCACAGGCAGCCTGCAGGAGTGGTAAGCCTTGCTTATGGATTAGCCCGGTGGGACACAGGGTGGGGAGGGAAGCCGGGATCGCTCTGACCTGATGAACCAGATCATCTGGATGCATTTCAGGAAAGCATATCTGTGCAGGTTGCTGCTCAATCCCAAGGCGAGTGCCTGGAGACATGCTTCAGTTTATCATGCAGTCTCTGACCTGGGTCAGATGTCTTCAGTGAATTAATGCCTCTCAGGCACACCCCTGCCTGATTTATGTGAACATTGGACTGGGTGAGATCAGTGAAGGAAGGTAGTGTTACAGCATTGCTGTGTTTTCATTTGGTGGATCCAGTTTGCTTTATTCACCTGCCGCCTTCTGCCATTGTAATTACATTGTTTTGGAGGGGGTTGCTTTCCCAATCTTTGTCCTGTCCTAGAAAATGCTACAGCTTTTACTTCTGTTATGATGGTTTCAGAACTGAACCTAAAGCACAGGACCAGATTTATACTTTTGGTTTGTTTTTTTTATCCAGGAAACCTTTCTACTGAGCCTCAAGTCCTACTCTTAAAGGAGTAACAGAGAAAACAGGATCAAACTCAGATTTCCATTTCTACACGTATTTGAAGAGCCAAACCCTATTTCTGCAGGAAGAAATGGCTAAACTTCCCATTGTCTTTAAAAAGGCAAAGAATGAA